CATCTGATACCAGTGTTAAATAAATAAGCTGTATTTGTGACAGAAGGGTAGCAACAGGAGTCAAAAGAGATGGTTTACAAGATGTTAGTGAGACCTGCTATGATGCATGGTTTGGAGAGGGTGACGCTGAGAAAAAGACAGAAGGCTGAGCTGGAGGTGGCAAAGTTAAATATGTTAATATTTTTGTTTCGAGTGGCCCGGATGGACGGGATTAGAAGTGAGTACATCAGAGGGACAATTCAGGCTGAGCGATTTGGAGTTAGAGAGGTAAGACTGAGACAGTTTGGGCGTGTGCAGAGGAGAGATAGAGGATATATTGGACAAATGATGTTGAATATGGGAGGGTGAAAAGGGGAAGACCACACAGAAGATTCATGGATATAGTGAAGAAGAAGCAGAGGGCTAGTGTTACAGAAGAGGAAGCTAGGGACAGGGCGTTGGAGGCAGATGATCCAATTTGGCGACCCCTAAAGTTAGTAGCTGAAAGCAGGAGAGCAATTTCTCACTGTGAGGCTGTGAAACATTAGTTCATGTGTACGTTTCCATCAGGATTGACTTAAACATTGCTAAATTTGCTAAATAAAATCTAGCAAAAAATCCCGTCCAAAAAAGAACATTTCCTGAATTGATATGTATCAGTAAAATTAAAGAAGAGGCAAGAAAAAATGTATTACTTTAACAGTTTGTTTATCTGCACTCATCTCACTTCAGCTCAAATGAAGTCATTAGCCGTCTGCATACTGCAGTCATTTATAGTTGCAAGTTAAATGAAATCTTCCCAATAAGTGTGAAAACAACACTACTTTTTCCTCTCTGACCATGCATTAGGGAAAGTGAGCCAGAAAGCGAGCTGGAAAGAGAAGCTTAAGCACTCCCCTCATTGGAGCTTTTCCATCACTTGAACGCACAGTTAACACACTTTGCAGTTAAATAATAAAACTTGTTCAAACATACAGAGAAAAGCTGTTGGTCTCCAAACTGCACCTATTTCAGCTATGTTAGCTAAGCCTCAGATGCTGGTAAATTAAATACATAAGAACATAGACCTGAACTGAAAGATCAGCCCATACTGTAGATCGACAAGTTGTCATCAATGTCTGATCCAACCTTTTGGATCAGGACTCTTCTGATATCTGATACAAATGTGGGATTGTTGCATCCCTACTAATGATCAATACTCAAGTCAGGTCTTTTGATCTAATGATCAGTTTTTCTTAATTGTTATTGGGTATGCTGGTAAACCCCGGAACAGTCTGTGCTTTGCCAGTTCAGATTTGCAGTTTCACAGTCTACAGGATGCACAGCCTAGTTTGTTTCCATTTGTCTCATCTGATTATCACTTTGGCTTACTGACTGATTTGCTGATAAATATAAACTTGCAGGGCATGATAATCTTTGTTACAGTGCAGGTCTACCAGCATAAAAGTGATAGTGGCCATGTCCCTGTCTTTTGCAGGTGGTCCATCTGGTGCAAAAGAGAATTACCTGTGATGTCGTTTCTGTTCTCATTCAACCACACACACACACACATTCTGGGAGAGCATTTGTTTACTTTCATCTGACAGTTTTAGAGGATCTTGCAGGCGCAGATGTCTGCCTTGGCACGCACACAGTAACGCCAACATTGATTGGACCTGAGGGGCAGGCGAGGGGTAGGGGCGCAGTATAAAAAGTTTGAGAAAAAACAGAAAGGAACATCCAGTCTTTCAAGTTCACCAAATCAAGAAACCATCAAACACTGTTCATCACAAATGTAATTAATATGCTGGTTGTTAAAAACAGAACATTTTTCTGAGTTGGAATCACTTTCTGTAATCAGCTTTACTAAAAGGGTGAACACATTTGTTGAGTCGTAATGTCCGAGTGGCTTTGCCATTGCCGTCTAACTCTATAACTTCAAAAACAGCTGGAGCTCATTAGCATGCAGCGCTGGAGCCTGTGGAGTTACACAGTGCATCCATCCCACAGATGCATATTCACATGATGGCAGGGTCTCTCAACACCATTCTGTGACAAGGTCGTGTCCTGCTGTTTCCAAGCACACTGTTGTGTCATTGTGTGACTAGTCCTATCATCACACTTGAATGTACACCTTGCTCACTGTGTTAGTCTGGCCAGTTTAAGCAGGTATATCCCTAGTAGTTTATTCCCATGGCTGCTTCCAAACAGGAACAAATGTGCAGACAAATGTCATAATGTCCTGTCTGTGGCTGACTTATAAATAGGGACAAACAGGGCATATTCAATCACATCATAAAGCATACAAGTAAAAAAGTAGCTCTGTTACTTCTTAGTTACAGGTTGCACTTAAAGTCTCAGCAGCGATCGCTGGGAATGTGTTTTAGCTGTTTCTTGTTCACTGAAATCACTATGGATACACCTCATTAATGACAATTTATAGCACAGATTTGCTCCATTGGCCTTTTACATGTACAAATTTGTTGCTTAGTAAAAAGGTGAACTCTTATCGCCTTAAATAAAAAGAATACTGTGTGTGGCCTCATAATTTGTGGGATGGACTGACAAGATATTGACCAGCCACGCTATTAGTTTTTTTGGGGGGCTGACTGTGCTTTTCGGTGTGATTATATTATCTGAATAAGCCAAGTGTCTCTGAGGGCCCTCAGACAGAAATTTTTTTGCAGTATTGATGTTGTGCAGTACAGATGATGGATAGACAGTATAGTCATTGCAGCATTCAACCAAATACAAAATGGTGCTTTGATTCCAGGTCCCCCCCTGAGTGGGTGGGTGGTGATAAAGGGCAGCTGTGAGGCAGTGGTTGACTTTGAATAAAAACATCAATAATAGATAGATAGATGTTACTCCACCATAATCAACAGATAAACACTTACAATAAAATAAAGAGCAAAATTTGCACTTCAGAACAAGACACAGAACATCTAATTAGCATATACACAATATATACATTTAAATCAGTAACACTAATGAGAAAAAGATCAGTGAGAACAGTTATGCAAAAAGGCAGCAAATTATATATGTAAGAAAAACAGGGTGTTCAGATAGTATAGCAAAAGGTACACAGTGTGTCTGTTGTTAGTTTTACACAGAGGGAATGTGCAATGTTTGTCATGGAGGGGTGCGCCGATTGTGTTGAGGAGCAGGACCCAGATGCAGACACTGGAAAGAGGAGTTGGTGGTTGAACAAAAAGCGATCTTTTATTTGGATGGTGGCAGCAAAGAACAAGAAAACAATGAAACTTAAGAAAGAACTGAGAACAACTATGAACACTGTGTAAACTAAGGCTACTTTGAAACACAGTGAAAACTATGAGAAAAACCTACAAAACACTATGGCTAAGACTGTGGTGGGAATAACAGACAACCTGACAATGAGATACAGGAAACAGAGGACTTAAAAACACAGGAGGTGATTAGGGGAACTGGGAACACATGGGGAAAGCAGCTGACTGACATGAAAATAATGACGGGACAGGGGAAGTGAAACTAAATACAATGACAAAGGCATGGTAGACTCCAAAATAAAACAGGAAACATGGAGATGTAGACATGACATTAACTTGACAACAAGAACCACACAGACATGAAACATGACAGATAGACGCACCAGGGAGACTTAGTATAGGGGAGGATGACAAAAGGAACTAAGAGACAAAGGACTAAACAGCAATCTAGAAACTAACTAGATGAGCTAAACTGGAACACAAATAAATAAAAAAGAAACATAAAAACTCAAACACTAGGCCACACGACCCAGTACCATGACAGTGTTAACATGAAAGGTAAAAATAACTTCTTAAAACATTTATGGCAGCAAAGCTGAATGTGTCTGTTTCAGGCTCCTCCTTTTTCTGTCTGTGATGAATGTTGTCGAATGGGTCGTGCATGATATAGAGCAGTTTCTTCCGTAACCTCCTGACTCCCCGTCTCCAGGTTTTGACCAATGGTAGTTCTGCCTTTGCGAATGAGTTTATTGATCCTGCTGACATCTCTGGCACTGATGCTGTTCCCCTGCAGACCACAGATGGTACTTGCAGCCACAGATTGGTACCCAGCATCTTGTTGCACAGAGCGAAAGATCTGGGCTTCCTCATAGAAAAACGTCCGTTCCTCCCCTTTATGTCAACAGCACCAGTGTTCGTCCACCCATCCAGTCTACTTATGAAACGTACCCAAGTATTTGTAATGCTGAATTCTTACCTCGTCACCTATGAGGATTAAAGGATTGTTAGAAAGGGTACATGCTACCACATAGAGTCTTTGGAGACTTTCTGTACGTAGCATGAGTCAAAGTCATCCTGGAATTAGAGTGAACAGAGATTCTCTTGTTACATGTGTATTTTACTAGCCACTTCAAGCCAGGAGGTCCCTAGCTGAATGAAACAGGGATGCTTTAACAGATAATTAGCAGCTCAGATGAGAGCAAATGCCCTGACTCCCATCCTGAGGAGTTTCTAGATTAATCTAGTCAGGATGCGATCAGCATGTGGCATGCTGGGTCACCGATGGTACTGATTAAGTCACTTAAATTATAAGGTGTAAGGATTCTGTATATATCTGTTGTCAACATATCATGCAAATTGTTGCTTTTTGGTTTATGTAATACAATAAAAGAAAACATAAGCAAACAAGCAGAAAATGAACTACATGAGCAGTCTGGGTGAAATTTTAACCTCGTGTGGATGTTTATTCCAAGCCCTGGTACTTAAGATCACCAGATGTCTGTTAACTCTTATTTAGTGATTACAGTCGTCATTGCTTTTAAATGTAAATGCAAAGAGAGAGGCGAAAGAGGTGGAGACATTGATTCAGTTCATTGCTGCAAAGCATTATAAGACAACAGGTGGAGAGGAGTGTGTCACTGAGGCAGAGTGACTGCATAGAAAAGGTCATATATTGTAGTATGAGGAAGAACGAGTGGTGAGATAGCAGCAGCAGCAGCAGCAGCAGCTTCACAGCTCAGCCCATCCTCCCATGACAGCGCAGAGCTACGTTCTGCCTCTCCGCTTTGTCGTCAGAGCAGCCTCCCGCCCGCGCACAACTCCTCTCCGCTCTGCACCAGAAAGGAGCATTCTCCTCTCTCCCTCGTTTTCATATCCTCTCCCTCTCGCTCTCTCTCGCTCTATCTCTCTCTCTTTTTCTGTCAGTTAGTGTGTCCTCAGAATGAGGTTAGCGGCACCAGCAGCAGCATCAGCAGTAGATAGAGACAGCAGAGGAACAGTTACTGCAGCAGCCAGGAGAGGCTGTCCTTCAGCCGTGCACCATCTACCGCTGCATTCACCCCTGCCCTGAGAACGCAACGCTCATCCCTGTGCTCTCTTTCTGTGCCTCTCCCTGCTCCTCCCTCACCTTCTGTCCTCCTTGAATTCGTCTCCTGAATTCACCCCCCACCCCTCTCTCTTCCTCTCTTTCTCCATAGCAGTGATGGGGGAGACCACCATGTAGAGACAGAGAGGCAGCGGAGGCAACAGCAGAATAGCAGCAATGGGAAGCCACACATGGAGCGGGTCTGGACTGCAGCCGTGGTGAGCCTGAGACCGACAGGACTTGCATCTACCATCACTGCCCTTCTCAGGACCTGACCACTGGGGCTGTCCAGTGCTTACCTGGATGCTCCCCACTTGTGTTTTTTCATCCCCTCCTCTTCCTCTCCTCTGCTGCTCTCTCTTCTCTTCTTCTTTTTCTTCTCTGATGGTTTTTTGTCTGCTGAAATCTGTCTTTCCTGAAACAGAGAAGCTGCTCATCAATTTATCCCCACGGATTTTTTCCGCTTTTTAATCCCTGTATCTGCTTACTTTTCTTTGAAGAGATTTTTTTTTCTCATTTTGTTGCTGTTGCCTCATTCACACCTATTTTGGATTTTTTTTTTCTTGGAAGAGACTGAGCTCTCTTGTGAAAGCTTTTGTTTGATCTATAAGCAATAAGAAACACTAATCTAACTGACTTAACTAGCTGACATCATGGGAGACATGTCCAACAGCGATTTTTACGCCAAGAACCAAAGAAATGAGGGCAACCATGCAGCAGCCTTTGGCTGCTCGCTCATGGAGCTGCGCTCGTTGATGGAGCTGCGTGGAACAGAGGCGGTGGTCAAGCTCCAGGAGGACTCCGGGGGAGTAGAAGGACTGTGCAAACGACTGAAAACCTCACCCACAGAAGGTGAGTTACCGCGCTTATTTATGCATGTGCGTGGTTGTGAATGTGAAAATGGATGCAGTGGTACTTATTGTACCAAAGACCATTTCTCGAAGAATATGTCCTCCTATGCAGACTGCAGATTTCCAGTATCTGTTCTGTATTTTATTTTTTAATTTTATGGATTACCATAACCTTCTGAATGGATAACCTGCTTCTTTGATACCAAAATCACTGATAAAATCACAGACATGCAGCAACCTTGTAAAGCACCTGGAGAAATGCATAAACACAACATCAGCAAAGTACACATGGGAGGGAGTCCCGTTTGAGGGGACTAATGAAAATTTCTGTTCAGTATGCACAGAAATCTCTGTGGACAATTTAGCCCCCCCTTACTCCCCCCTCCCCTGCAAAAGCATCCCACCCTCCCTTGTCATTCTCTTTTTCAACCAATTGGCTATAGCCTGAAGGAGCAGGTCGCTGGAGCAACACGGTAGAGATTTTGGCCATGTGGGATGTGCTGCGGTTCTTGGGCATGAGAGAAATGGCATAAAAATATCCAAATCCTAATCTGTTTCCTACTTCTTATTTTTAATTAAAAAATAAAACAGTAAGAATTTACATGCAGATGTGCCTCTATGGTTTTACCCTAGCGTGCGTAGCATGTTTGCTCTTACAGATTTTCATTTAAGAACATGATGCAAAAATCCATAATGGTGGTTGTATTTCTTCCAGCCCAATCACTTAAAGCAGTTTTTTTTAATACATACCTAACATAGCTTTGTCATCATAAATCATTCATTTAAATATATACACGTCTAGTTATTCTATTTCTACACATAACTTGCTTTTTTGGGGGGTTGCATAATCCCCACAAGCAGAAAAATTGGCCTCTCGAATAGCTACACCAGCGTATTGAATATTTATCACAGTACTTAAATCATCTACCTCCCCAGACATTGGGATAATTGATCAGTATTCCTGTAGTGTCACCAGTGTGACATCAGAGGTAGCCTGTAACGTTATAGGCTGACACCCAAAGAAGATTGTGTTTCCTGATCGTCTCATTTCTGTCAGACCATTTCTAGGTCAACTCATGGTTACGCCCACTGGCTATAAGAGCAAACTAGATAAATTTAGGGAAACTTTAAAAATAATTCTTTTATTATTATTGCACGGTTAAATAAATAGTGAATAAATATTTTTAAAGAGATGGATTAAAACAAAACTGAACACAGAATCAGATAGAACACTGATTCTTACCCTTCAGTTTTCTCAGAAGCCTGGTTCCTTGATGTATACCTACACCCGTGATGTAGTGGCTGACTGGGAGGTGAAGAGCTAGCATTTCCTTTAGGCAGCCAGCTGGTGAATGGCACGAGTCATTCAGGGGCTCAATGGACTGTCAGGCTACAGCTTGGTTTCCAAGAACAGTTGGCATTGAGTTGCTTGGTGAATGACCTGTTTTCCTTCAGATAGGAGAGAAGACTGTTGGTGGATACGACTGTTTTCTCAAGAGACAGTAGAGACATGCAGAACGTCAGTAGGTCCACCTTGGTAGAAAGCAAAGAAATACGAAATAACTTTATGGACAGTGTTGCCCCTTGAGGATTGGGGGGATGGAGAGATGCTCGGGGAATTGAAAATCTTTAATACTGTGGAAAAGCAAGAGTAGGAGGGTCTTGACCCAGAAGAAATTATTATAGTACGGAAGCCACAATATGCTCAAAACACCGCTGTAACACGCATAAAATTGCGAGTGAGCCTTTCAGGAAAACATGCCCTCACATTTGGATAAAATTCCCTAACTAGAGAAGAACCAGTAATGCTGTAAAATACTCACTATTAAAAGGTTACGCTTCAGTTTATATTATAGTGCCACTTCTTTAGCCTTGTGCTGAATATCTAATTGTGGTGACTACTGCTCATCACCATATTCGCAATATGAGCAGAAACAATGCCTGCAGTGTTACAGTGATACTCAAATAAATTGAATTTGAGCTAGCAATAAAATTATCATACCAGACATAAAATTATAATTTCATTTTCCCATTCTCACGAGGATCATGATTACATGATTGAATATTACATTTTATCAGTCAACTAAATACTAACCCAGGATCACAGCCTGCCAATGTGCAATAACACACAAAAAATTTTAAGCTAATGTAATAAAAAGAGGGGACTTGTAATCATTAACATACTGTTGTCTACACCCATACTTAATTACCTTAAAACATTAGACAAAAGCAAATTAATCTGCTCAAGGAATAATTACAAATGCATCTCATTTAAAACCTATGAAGGTCTCACATTAAATCACCCAAAACGTCTGGCATTAGATTATCGCCTTCAAATGTAGAACTCCACGGTCCTTCAAAATATACTGCTTTCTGCTTGATATACCCAGTTTTTACAATAAAATAGATAAAAGAAGTGGAAAAAAAATACATCTTTGTGGTGCAGTTAACAATATATATGAGTCACATACTGACTGCATTACTTAAAATAGTACATCACATCGAATGTGTGCACCATTAATTATTAATTCACCATACAGTATGTACCATTTAGTGGATTTACTTCAGCTCAAGGAGGTTTACCCGTATCATATTTATTTATTACTACTTTTAGCTGCTTTTAGGGGTCACCACAGCAGGTAAGTCTGAATATTTTATTTGGCAGATTTTTACAGTATATACCCTTCCTGACACAGACCCCCATGGGATTTGTGTCTCCAGGGATCTTTCATTTGTCAGGCACATGTGTCAACCACTACACTATAGACACACTATCACGTATATTTTAGGATATACCATATTTATTTATTGAAGATTTTTAATTGGTCAGTCCATTTAACAAGTCATTTTTTCAGTTAGGGTCTGAGCTCTATTGCTAACAAGCAGGCTGTCTTCTCCCTGGTGCCTGGTTAGGCTTAATTACTTTTGATAAATTAATTGTTTTCTTTGACAGGATCAGTGACTAAATTTAAACTGAGTGGGTGGGTGGTGCAATTGTATATTAGAAAATACATTATATTATATTAGAAAGATGATCCTGGTAGCTCTTTCAAGTTATTTTATAAGGCTTGCCGTCATGTGTGTTGTGTACTATGAATGTGTCCCATGGGGCTGTGTTAGATCATAAGAGACCCTCGTGTTACATTGTTTCTATGATGATTCATCCTGTATTTGGAAGCAAATTCCCAGGTCTTCAGGTCTGTGTAACAAAACCAGCTGAAACCAGTCAATCAAGCTCAAAAACCAGCCCAGTACTCAAGAATCAGACAGTCAAGAGCAACAACACAACAGCGTGTATGCTGATCTGGAGTCAGTTCATTAGTAAAATTTGAGTGTTAAAAATATTACAGTCATAGTATGCTTTGAATTTGTAGCTATAATTTTTATGCAAAACAGATCTACCAAACTGGTGGACACGTCATTTAACCTACAGCAACTCTTCAGCAGTAACCCAGTTCTGCAGTCAAACCACCAGATGTACATTATTCATACAATCGCTATAAAATCAGCACATACAATAGTTATATTTCTGGGAAATACACTGCACTGAAATACACTTAAATTTAAAATTTCTGGGTTCTCCAGTTCTTAGCCTTCAGAGGTTCAGTACCTTTACCCAGGATGTAGTTACCAAGAAGGTGAGTGTAGGAGTGAAGAGCTAACGTTTCTCTCAGGCAGCCAGCAGGTGAATGACATTAGTCATTCAGGGGTCGGATGCGCTGTCAGGCTACAGCTTAGTTTCTGAGAAGATATGGCATGAAGCCGACCAGCATATGACCTGATTTTCGGAAGACAAAAGGAAAAGGTGTTTTTCGTGCGAGTTGACTTGCTGGTTTCATAAGACACAGTAGAGAGCTGCAACACATCAGTAATCCTCCTCGGGAGGAACGAGAAATCAACAGAGAGAGCTCAGCCGTTCCTCGAGGGTCTGGATGATAGAGAAGTGCTCAAAGCATTGATGGTTTTTGATGCTGAGAACGAGGGTAGGAGGATACTTAGGCAAACATTTGCAGGGAAGCAGTTGTAAATATAGATGGGATTAGAGCCCACATTTTATAGACAGTTTTTCTACATTGCAAAACTACAGTGGTAATTTACATTAAATTAAGCAATAAATACTAATTAATACATGAGAAACTTTGAAGATGCAACAATAATAGTAAAATTCAGATTTTCTTTTTCACACAACCTGTTCTAGCCTCTCTGAGTCTGAATAATTAAATTTCATTTCTTCAAACTCACACCTTTCCTTTAAAATGCTTTTCTTTGCCGTGCCTCATTTATTTATCACTGTTACCTACAACTCTCAACCTCTGCTTGGACACAACTTCTAGAACTACATAGACCGTTTCACACCTGTTTTTGAGTCCTAACTAATTAGCTACAAACCTTAACTACACTGCAATTGTGTATCTAACAGGATTATGCTCACAGCTTGATCATTTTAATACCACGACCTCATGTCTACTATCCACCACTTTTTTGCCTCTTCTTCACTCTACAAAAAGTTAATAGGACTATTTCAAGCTTGCATGGGTTTGAAAAAAGCTAATCTGGTTCATTTTATACACACAATGTCAAGTTTTTCAGGTGTGAGGGTGGCATTTTTCAGTTCAATTGTTAGAACAGAATTTGCGTAACCAAATGGGGTCTTTAATTTAGGTCAAATGTAGAGGTCTGTGCACTTAAAAAAGTATGGGAAGAAGCTGGGAAGAAATTGTAAGTGGCAAACAAGAGGGATATTTGATGATTGTGCATCACGCTGGCTGGCTGTTTTCCCCACCCTCTGTGCTAAACTGTTATCTGTCTGCAAGAAAAAAACCTGCAGACCTCAACATATTGAACTGACCTTTTTAGAACTGGTAAAATGATTTGCTCTCACTTTGCAACCATGCCATGGATATCTTCTCGCTTACGTTGTCTTACTTTTTACCTGCCTTTGTCTTTATTTGTCCTTCCTACTTCCACCAAGCTTCCTCCTAATCAACCCCCCCCCAGCTG